GATCCACTGCTCCCCTGCTTCTACTGCAATTTGGGTGTTATTTCTTTCAAATTATAATTGTCGGTGCTTTGCCCAATAATACTGAGGGTAGTTGAGGGACCTGGAACAATGATCTCAATACTATTATTCTGAGGATGGCTTCCAATAGGTTTCAATATCTTACGGTAGGCACGGCGAAACTGTGGGTTCATCATACCATATATGACAGGGTTTATGGCACTGCTTGAGAAGAACAGCACAGCCAGACCAAATGGAGGATCTCTGCTATGGTCGAACGTGGCAATGAACTGGTACGGTGAAATGGACAGTACGTATGATAAGAACACGACAAATAACGTCTTTGTAACTTGTATGTCTCGTTTGGATATATGTCCACTCTGCGAATGTATCTGACGTTGAACTTGACGAATCTTCAAACCTATTTGAATGTAGCAGGTTCCAATAATCAGGAGAGGGACAAGCCCAGTGCCGGTCGCTAGTGATGCGAGATAGTACAAACCAAGCCCAGTACGATCCATCAGACATATGTATTCATTTCTGGTAAAAATGTAGCGTGAAAAATTGAAAAACGGAGGGAGGCTAAACACGGCAGCGAGTGCGTGACATGCTACGACACAAAACACGCTGTTTTTTATCGTAAACATTGCTAAAAATAGGTGTTTTCGACATACACATATGTAACGGTTTATTGCTATGGCAACCATGCAGTAGATGGATGCCCCACCGCTCTGAATGAAGAGGAAACCATACACCTGGCAAACACCGTTTCCCAGTATCCCGTCTTTAAGGTACCCAAATATTTGTCCCTCGGAAAGGTACGACGCTATGGTGATTATGGTCATGACGGTGCACGTGGTGAAATCGGATATGCAGAGACCGCCGACTATGACATTGGACGGTGACCGGAGTTGTTTGAACATAGTTATGGACACCATGGCGAGGATATTGCCCACAACGCCGACAACAAGTGTCATGATCAGTGCGGCAACGCAGACGACTTTCAAGACAATGTTTGGAGGAATGATTGCATGAACATCCGCAATACTATTGTTATCGGCGGAAGATGTGTTCCATCCAAGGTTCTCTATGGCCATTTTTTGTATTCCCAAGGTAGACCCACACTCGAACTTTTCCTCAACTATTTTTCAGAATACCTGTAAAAAGAATACAGTATTATTACCGAGTTTCTTAGGTGGGTTGTGTGATCAACGGT